TCCCACTTGGTGCGGTTCGTTTTGTGCAGGTGTGAACACAGTAGTCATACTCAGGTGCAGACATAACCCCCCCCCCAAAAAAAACACTGAGACCCTTTGAAAAGAGTTAGTCTCAGTATGTTCCAAACAAACCCCAGTGCAGTTTGTTTTGGGGGTAAATGTGATCTAACCCCGATCCAGACCAACTACTAGGTGTGTGCTACAAGTTTGAGCTAAAGAATGAACAGATAGCCACGCATGCTTTGTATTCTTGATGTGGAAAGTTACTATAGATGTGCAAACCTCTGCACTAGCTAGCAACTAGCTGTGAAATGAATGTAAATTTTCCATTTTCTCACACAACACTTTCTTCCTGTCTTTACTTTTATGCTCCCACCCCAGACACATCTGGCCAATGAGCAGACTGAACTTTTTCACATGAGTTGTAGTGACACATTTGGGAGTTCACTTTGATTTTTCTCTGTGGGAACATATCCAAACCACAGAATAAAGCTACATGTTTACAAAGTCATCAACTGATTCAGACCAGAGTAAATGAATTATAGGTCTGCAAACACCCTAAGTGATTGGTTCATTAATACTTACAGGTCTGACTTTGTCCAGCAGGGGCATTCCTTTGCTCTGTACAGCGTGGAACTGCAGCTGGTTGAACTCTGTTGCAATCCTTTCTAGGATCTGTCCTGCTAACAAGGGGCTGTGAATAAAGAAAAATAAAAACCCTCACAATAAAAAAAATAATAATAAAAAAAAAGAGGATCTATGGAAAATGGTCTGACTCGCATGATAGCATTATGTCCCTACAAAGACCAAGCTCAACAAAACATAACTCCTGATGTGATGCCTGGGATCTGGTTTGAATTTTTCTTAATCATTTCAGATATAATTTAACAATCTACCAAGTAATACACAGATTGACTAGATTAGCATGTCAGCTCTCTACCTGCTGATCTCCAGAGAGCTGGATTCCTTGGAACTCTGTGAGTGAAGGATTTTCTCAATCTTCTCCACTGATCGTACAACCTGAATCAGCCTCATCACACACACCTGATTGATGGTGACAATGAAAGGGAGAACTGAGCTTGCTATGGGCTTAACATAAAATTAACACAAAATACAGTTTGGTCAAAGCATAAAGTCTGACCGTAAAAAGAGGAGCCAAACCTTTTTTTTCTGCAGGTCCTCGTGCTTCAACAGCTGGTTATCTATCGCCTGTATCACCTCACTAACACAGGACCGCAGACTCTGCAACAAATAGCAACCAGAGAAAAGTACTCAGTGGCAGGAAGTAATTACAGTCGGAAGTATATTTATTCAGACAAGAACGTACCATAACCTCCTCACGTAACTGTCCTAATGGCACAGAAAGCTGATTGAGTGCTTTGTCCATCCCAACCTAAGATGAAGGAGCAGATGTCAGATTAGGCCCAGGCTTTATTTAAGAATATTAAAACTGTAGGATTTGTTTAACTGTTCAGAAGCATATTAACAGACCAAATACTAGATTCGTAACTGTTAATAACAGTAAGTCACAGATATTTTGCGGAATACATTGCTCTGAAAAAAAAAAAAAAAAAAGGGAAAAGATGGAAATTCCTGTTATGATTTCTTGCCACAAGCTGACAATTTATAGTCAAACTTTGTCCAAAACAAATTTGTGATTCAGCATGGGAAAAGCCAGCGAAGGACACAAGAGCCCCAGCTGCACTCAAAAATGGCCAAGCACTGATGCAATCAAGAACAACCAATATTTGTAATGTTTATTATTATAATCTTAAACTCTGCAAAGATCTCCCAAAACTATCCAAATAATAATTCTTACTGAACAGTAACAATTATTTTTTACTGAGCAGTAACAATTATTTGGGTGCAAAAACTGCAAATAAACAGTGCACTGGCCTTGTCTGGTAAACCTCTCGACTATAAGTGGAAAACCCCATGTTTGGCTCTGCCAAAATTTGCCAACTTTGTGACGCAGCAGACTTTTGCGCACTTACCCTGTGACGATAACGCTGTGTGGACCGTGACTGATCAATGGTGGCTTGAATACCTTTTGGCATTTTTAAACCACAAGTGTAATAATTTATGAACATACTACAAATGAGTATTCATCTTTCTGGATAAGTTCTGCACCACAGAAATTCAGAGGATGGATACAGTTTGACATTTTCCAGTTAAAAATAATCATTAAAAGATACACCAAGAAAGATTTGTTTTACAGTTTCATCTCAAAGTTTTGAAGTCTAGTAAGCATGAAAAGTTAAAAACTTGAATGCAAGTTCAAGTTTTACGGATCTTACTTCAATAAGTAAGATCCGTAATCACTCATCTGCCTGCTTTCTTGGGTGTTCAGGCTGATACGCTGTCAAACTCAGTACAGCCATCATTACTTTAATCCAATCATTTTCTTGCCTGCTATCTCACACCAATCAGTCCCCATTCTATGTGCTTTAAACCTCACTGCTCTTCTATCTTTCTGCCTTTCAGGCAGCCGCCTTCTCCCCATTGCCATCTCACACTGATCACTTACAGCCCAATCCAAGCCTCCATCTTCATCTTCTCCTCTAGTTAGGGTCCTGTCATAACTTCTTACACTGCTAGGATTTTGTTCTGCTATGATGGGCTAGAGTCTAAACGCCAATTCAATTCTCTTTCTTACTAAATCATTGTTCCCAACGGCCTCTCCTTATTGAAACAGAAAAGTATGAAGTGCTCACATTTTCGAAGTTGAACCAGCAAAGGTTTGCTTGATTAGTTCTACAGATTTGGCCATTTTTCCATCACTTAATTTACAAATTAAATCATTGAGTAGATCTAATAACTGACAAGACATACATTCTGTTTATTTACATAAATAAAACAATACCTACCAATAATAATGACTGATTTATTAGCTACATTTCATCAAGGCAGTTTACAATTATGTTAAATTTTAAATTACACCAAGGGACATCCTCCTGTTGGCTACTGTTTCTAAACTTTACACATTTAAAATTACAGTTATTGCCATTAGATAACATGAATAACAACTGACCAGGTTGGTAGAGAGGTTAACAAAGTCTGCATAGTCCTTGTTGATGAGCTCCACCATGGCTGTTTTCAACAGCTTGTAGTAGAGCTCCAGGTCCTCTCTCAGTTCTTCCAGCTGGACCTGCTTCCGACACTCAGCCACAAACTGGTCAACGTCAAAGTCATCCTGCAGACACAAAGGGAAGAAGGCAGCATGCATTCAACGACACATTAACTCTGGTCACTTTGATAGGTACATCTTGGCCCTCCTTTTGGTTTGCGAACTGCCTTAATTGACTGGTAATAGACTGAACATAGATTCGGAAAGATCGGTGCCTTTCCTGTTCTTGCAATGAGTGGCACCCGGTGTGTGTGGTGCATTCAGAGATGCTCTTCTGCATAGTTTGGTTGTAACGTCTGGTTATTTTAGTTACTTTTACAGCTCTATCAGCCATTCTCCTCTGACATCGACGAGGAATTTTCACCCAGAGATCCGCTGTTCACTGCATATTTTCTCTATTTTTACACCATTCTCTGTGAACCGTATAGAGCAGGGGTGCCCAATCCCGGTCCTCGAGAGCTACCATCCTGCAGCTTTTAGATGCATCCCTACTCCAACACAGCTGAATCAAATGGTTTGATTACCTCTTCAGCATGCCATCGTGTTTGGCAAAGGCCTGATAACAAGCCATTCATTTGATTCAGCTGTGTTGGAGTAGGGATGCATCTAAAAGCTGCAGGATAGTAGCTCTCGAGGACTGGGATTGGGCAGCCCTGGTATAGAGGGTCGTGTAGGGAAATGCCACGTTTAAAGGCACTTTGATCACTCTCATCCCTCCTTTTGATGGTCAGTTTGAACTTCAACAAGCCAAGTCTAAACCTCGTCCACATGAGCAAACGCTTTGGATTACTGCCATGTGATTGGCTAATTACATATTTACATTTCTAAGTTAACAAGCACTTGGACAGGTGTACCTAACAAAGTGTCAGGTAAGTGCTCAAACTGCAATCCTCAGGCGTCGACTGTTTCACGCAGAAACGCCTGCATGTTGCCTGTTATTTAAAGTTACTCTGCTGGCTCGGTAAAACATTCATATCTACTGACTGGTAAACCTTTACTGACACAGGAGCATCAGAATGAACGTCCACTATCGACATTTAGCTAGCCTAATTCTAGCTAGTTTGACATCCTAACGCTTCAACTAGCATTTATACACTCTTACCTTCATAAAAACATCCTTATCGAAGCACAGAGAATCCGGTCCCTTTGGTAGATTCATTTTATAAGAAAACACAACTTGAAGCTACAGTCAGAGAAATGACGACCAGTCTTGAGCTAGCTGTAGTCAAGCTTCCGCAAACATGGCAAGCGCACCGACGAAGAAGACAGTGATTAAGATAATACTCCTGCGCCCCCTAGAGGCCCCATGCAATGTGACCACAGTACATTGAGACCGCAGGGGTCGCTGTTGAATATAACCTAAATATTTTAATATTTAAATAACTAAAATGGTTTGTTACTAATAATTTTGGATTTCAGAGTAGTCACATAAAATTGCTCAAAACTTTTAGGTGCTCAATTTTTTATTTCCAAATGCCATTTTGTTAATTTGCAGTATATAGAAAAAAAATAATAATTAAAACTAAATCCGCATTCACTGTGACAGTCCTTTCCAACATCAACAGCGTTTCTCTTTTCTTTGCAGTAGATATGAAAAGAAAAATCTACTTTAATCCATATATTGAGGTCTTGTTTAATTAATAATTCGCGATGGCCAAAAGATGAGTCTGTTTTCGCTAAAAATGCTTCTAAATATCAAAATTAATTAATAAATAATAGTTGTAATTTTATTATATCTATAATCTAATAAAATAATTTTGAATTTTAATTTTCCTCGTTGTCATTTTCTGCGTCCATCATTATTATTCTAGCACTGTATTATCGTTAGTCATCATAATCTTCCTTCACCTCAGCTTTAGCAGCTGCCATCAGCCGCACCGCTCCTGTCCGAGTTTGCTTTAGAAAGTGAAATCTTATTGGCTGGCGGTGCAGCGCTACGGCGTCAGGTGATTCAGTGCCAGCCACTACTCTCGCTATTCCTCGGAGTGGATAAATAACTCGCTGGTCTCTCAACCCGGATGCTGAGCCAAAACTATTGATGATTTTGCCCAGTGAGCAGCGCTGTGGGCAGAGCAAGGGGGCGGAAATATTCCAGTACCCTTGAAGCGGACAGCTGCCACCGGATCTACACTCTGCTGACCACCGGGCTTCGCATCCGAACCGGGACGGCAGGTGGATCATAATTCATACCAAACACAGGGGAGGGTGTGATCGCCACACTGAAGGCAAACACGTCTCCTGCTCCTGCAAGATCGTGACCACTTGCACGCCACTGAGGAGGTAGTGAAAGGGTGAGAAAGAGAGTGGAAGAAAGAGAAAGGGGGGAGGAGAGAGGAGCATCACTACAGAGAGAGAGATGGCGGAGTGCGGGCGGAAGGCGCTGTCTCTCCTGGAAGCGGCCCGCTCCCGGTACGAGAGCCTGCAGATATCCGACGACGTGTTCGGCGAGTCCGGGGACGACAGCAGCGACAATCCCTTCTACAGCACCTCCGGAGACTCCGACTCTGATAACTACATAGCCGAGGTAGGTGAGGAGGATCAGCAGCAGCAACAGCCACCGCAACAGCAGCACCACCACCATCACCACCAGAAACGAGGCGATAAGGAGAGTGGACACAGCGGGGGGACAGGAGGTGGCAGCGCAGCAGGACCCCCCGGCTCCCTATCCCGTAGTCAGGCAGAGGAGGAGGGCTGGACGGAGACTCTGCAGGATGTCACGGTCCCGCCGTACAATGATACATACGGTGAGGCACGATGGATGGGCTAATTTTTGCACTGGTGGGGAGCAAATGCTCACGGCTGTGTAGTGATTGGATAGACACAGACAGGAGTGCAGTCCGTGTTCACATTTTTCAGGTCAGGCAGGCCATTTCTGTTTGTCACAACAGCTACAAAGCAACTACTGCTTCTTCTTCTTCTTTTTTTTAAACAACTGAATACTGCTCTCGTTTTTATCTCTCTCCCTCTCTCTCTGTATGTGTGCGCTTCTTGCTTGTGTGTAGTGAGGAGAGTAACAGAGAGAAACATGACACATGCATCGTTAATTGCTTTATTAAGTTAATGGCAAAGGCTTAACCTTTGATGCATCACCCCTTGGTGCTGTTGTAGACATGCTGTCTTATGTGTATGTGCTCATGTTTCAGAGCTGTTTCGTTTAGAGAAACGGCATGAAGCCTCTCCTGGCTCCATGCACATGTATTATGTGCATATTTTAGAATAAAAAAATAAATAAATGGCACATTTTGTTGCATATAAACTCAATGTGCATAACAAGAAATATCTATGCACTTTGAAGAGCCACAACTTAACCTAGTATGCATGCCTTCTGATGCTATGTAGGTGTGTGCATTCATGCAGAACTAATGCACAAATGCCAGCCTTTGTCCACTGGTACCAACAGCTTAAATGTGAGACACAAGCTCAGAGAATCCTGATTTATTCATTCGGTTATTTTCCTTTTTAACTGCACACTTCTGCAGGTCTGTTTGTGTGTGTGTGTGTGTGTGTGTGTGTGTGCGCAAAGGAGAGACATTTGTGTGCATGAATCGTGACAGTTAAACAGCAGTGTGTGCACCCACACTGCTCCTTCCTCTCTACCACACCATTAGACTGTCAGTCTTAAGAACAGTATTTATTTATTTAGTCCATTATAGATCAGAGAGTGGGGTTTGGGGTTTATAGTGCAGCTCTTTCAGTCAAGCTATGTTTGGATTGGTTCTCCTTGTCCATCTTTCCTGCCTCCGCTGAAGCCAAAACGATTTGTGAGAATGCCATCCTGTTTCCACCGTGACAGGATGCACTGTTGCAGACTTGGAGGGGAATCGGCATATGGCTGTAGTAGATACGGACCAAGCCCCAGTGTGCTGGCACACTACCTAGTAGGAACACACTTATTCAAATGAATAAAAAGCCCTGGCTGTAGATAACCTGCCAAGATGCCACTGCAAAGTAAGTGAACAGCACTCGCTGTTTGCAAAGAATTGTTCCCAAGCTGTTCCAGTGCAGCAAACACCGAAATGTACTACATGATCATTAAAAAAAAAACCCACATATGAACAAATGAGATAAAGCTTTTAAATGTTGTTTTGGAGCTATTTGGTTCAACAAAAAGCCTGTTCCAATAAACACAATACTAAAAAAAAGACACATACTAAATAACATTTATTTCTGGATTTTATTTTATTTTTTTCAGATCCAGCTAACTTTAGTAATCCTGCTCTGGGATAATCTGAGCCTGGATATAAAGTGGTGTCTGTTTTAAGCACCCAAAATAGTCTGAACCAAGCTGCACTGAGCTGGGGTACCATAAGAGGTTCTTGCTGTGCCACAAATGTTAGAGGATGTTCAGTACTTCTACATCCTGGACTGTCTGACTCTATTTAGCTGTTGTGACTTTGTTGACTTAAGCTAGGGTGGCAGCAGGTGTGTTTGTATGGTCTGGTCTGATTTGTTAAAAATGCAGTCAGTGTCTGTTTGCACAAGCCACTGCAACTCTAGGCCTGCCATCCTGTATCAGGGTAGGTATGATTAAAAGCATGGATGTAGTACTGCCAGAGCGCATAATCACACTTCAGACCTCAAGTAGCCAAGACCTTACTCTGACTTAATCAGCCCGAACAGATAAGAATGACTCCATCCTGAGCAGCATGTCTGCATAAATGTGCGTCTCTGCAGATTTTAATGGCACGAATGACGTTTCGGCAAAGTCGGTCAGTGCCCGTCTGTCTGCCTGCCCATTTCTATGTCAGTCAGTGCGTGCTGACACAGGATGTTCATATGTAATATGCTGTCTTCAAATGAGTTTGTGATGGTTGCCCCTGCAGTGCGAGGCGGGTGGCAAATGACTAGACCAAAGATTATGAACCGTAGCTCTTAGATTATATAAGCACTTTATCATGATGTCGAAGGGAATTAAAGAACTATTTATTGCTTCACTTTGCTGAAGCTGACTGAAAGATTACTGCTCCTGTCCCTATGTCAGTTCATCTGCCTGACTGTGTATTGCTACCTTGTCTGCATGAGATCTCTCAGCCATTAAAAACACTTAGACAAAGATGCATTTTATTATATTTATACATAATATTCTCTATCAATCACATAAAGGTAGAATGCTGAAGTAATTGGACTAAACAACACAAATGAAAACGTTTTTGCTTAAAGACAGTAGATATTGTTTTATTTGTAAGTCAAAAAAATTTTTAATCAATAGTCGCGGTGGTGAGAAATTGCACTTAGGTGCTGTCTCTTTAATTTCCACTAAAAACTGAACTTGGAACACATTTAGTCTATGTAAGGGTTGATGCACTTCAAATACACAGTAATCTCTCCTACTAAATCCATGGCTATAAAAGCTCTACGAGACAGATGTTTGTCCTGGGACAATGGAAATGCCACAACAGCTGATAATCGCGAGGGATTATACCTGTCTGTGTGTGCACTGTAGGTGGATTTTTCTTTTGAGCAATGTGGGAAATCGATATTTATAGGACTGCCACATAGACTAGCATCAGCTGAAAGAAGAGTTATGTAAATGATTAATCCTGTTTCATCTGATTGATGCGGGCTGGACTGACGATGAGCTGGCAGGGCTACTCAAAGAGGAAGGTTGTGTTTGCTCAGCAGCAGCAGATGAGACAATTCTATTATCCAGGAAAATGACGAGTCCTTCCTCACGCTGTATTCGTACCTCCCTTCTGAGATGAGTCGTGTTAAATCATTTTGCCTCAGTAGATCTTCAGTCTGAACGTCTGATGTTTTTATTCAGGGGTGGACTGGAAGTCATGTTGAATATTACCTTCAGCTTTCAAGTCTAATTGGATGTGAATGAGTTGATCTTTGAGCTGTGCCCTGGCTATTTCTGTGTCTTGTCTGCAAGCATCAACTGAGTGGGAGTGCTTGTATCCCACTCTGTCTTTTCTACACTTCATGTCTTGTCCTCCTGCACACTTTTAACAGTGTACTATATAGGTTGAAGTCGTGTGTGTTATCGTTAAATCTGCAAAGAAAAGAGCCTTCATTATTTTAGTTGCAGCCAGCTACACAGGGCCTGAGAAGGGAGAGTAAAAGCCTTTTTTTTTTTTTATGTTGTTCTGAGATAATGAGATTGTGCTGTTCAATCGAGCCAAAAGATGTTCTGCTCAAAGTCCAAATTACCTCTCATGGATCCAACAACCTGAGAGTGAACCAAAGCCAGTTAACTACACTGAGTATTGACTGTGTGGCTCCAAAGCTACATCCAAAGGCAGACGGACGGAGAGCTTTTTAAATGGGAGATAAATGTTATCTCGTCCTTAACCAGCGAGGGAGAATAATTAGGTCAGGCAGAAAAGTCCCGACTACGCTTCACTGTTGCTGCCATTAGCACATTTTAGAAAACAGCTCTGATTCTTTGTTGATTAATTTTAGTTAAATTACCTATTTATCCATTGCCTTTAGCTAGTTTTGCTGCTAATTCATTAATTATGCCATTTCAAACATTTATACCGCAGCTGATGAACCTTTTTTTTTTCATATTTGAGCATTTATCTATTGCTTTTAACAATTCTTTGATGTTAATGTTTGTGCATACAGTTATTTTAATTGTGTCAGGGCTTCTTTACTTTAAGCCAACAATTTAAGTTTTCGTTCAGTACTTTAAAGGATGGATCAGTCCCATCTCCATATTTTACAGTTTAACCGCGTCCTTATTTATCTTATGTTGGGCTAACTCTCTTCAGATTGGCAGCACCTGACAAACAGAAGGTTTGAACAGCATGTGTCTAGAGCTGTGGGTTGTGAACACCATATTAAGAGTATTCCCTGTATTTGACAATGTCTAAAAGTAGCGGGAAAAAAAACGACTCAAACAGTGTTGTTATTTGAAATTTTGGCCACGTGAGTGTTATTTTGAATGTTTATTCTTTAAGCTGTTAGCCACAGTCTGGCATAGAGACCAGTTGGCGACTTCTTAGCAACCACCGCTTCCTAGGGAAAATTGTGCATACCTCAACCAGTTAGTGAGTGGTTGCTGGCAGTGACTAGGTGAAACTGATCTAAAAGGGATATACGGTGCTGCACAGACAAGTTTCTTGTGAGCGGTTTGATCATCAGCGCAATTAGCATGGTTCATGTCACTGTCACTTCACAGCCACCTGTTCTCTCTGCCTATGTGACCAAGGCCTACACTTTTAGACATCTCTTTAAGTTGTTCTTATGCTGCAGTTTCCAAAAAGAAGCTTCTTGCTTGATAACATAGACTTTCAATAGATTTAAGTAGTACATTATAAGGACTAAACACTGTACACTGATCACACAAACTTTACAACCACACACAGATGAAGTGAAGCTTCTGTGTTATTCCACAGGTTTAGATACATTCAAATTTCATTAATAAAAAGGCAAATCATTCTGGATAAACAAATTAATCAGTCAAATTAATTGAAATAGTGCAGATGTTTTTTAATGGCTCATGGCTCGCAAACATTAAAGCGTGATTTTGACTTATTGCCTGCCGTAACACAAAAGCAACAAGACACTGAAGCCTTCCGCAAGCATAGAAATGCCACACTTTGACTGGCACCACAGTGTGGTGGCTGTCAGGTCATGTAAACTTTCTAACTGCTGCCCTGGGCTTATGACATTCATACCCAAAAGCTGCTGATGCACGAAGTGTACTGCGTTCCTCTGTTTGCACTGAAGCACCGCAGCAATTTCCTAATGTTGTAAACCTCAACATCTGGCAATAAAACCCCATTCTGATTCTGATTCTGATGTTTTGTTTTTTGGGGGTGTTTTTTGCTACAATGTAACACCTAAAATTAATTGATGCTTTATGTTACTCTTCTCAAGATTCTTTTGAGATATCACTGGAGTTTATATAAGGAAGAATGAGCCTGTGTGCATCCCACACAGCTTTGAAGATGACAGCTCAACAAAATGATATTTTATTGTGTCAAAAAAAACCCTTCTACTCAGCAAAGTCAATCAAATTGAAGGCTTCGTACCAAAGTTAAAAAGCTGGGCGTAAGTGACAGTGCTGTGTGTGACTTATCCCATGTGCGATTCTCTGTCTGTCAATCAGCATAATTTTTTTTGTCATAACATTTCACTTTTGTCCTTTTTCCCAACACAGGACCTGCTCAAAAGATGCCAGCCACCGCTACAGCCTTGGACTTTTTCCAGCTCTTTGTCCCGGACAACTGCATCCAAAACATGGTCACTCAGACTAACATGTATGCCAAGAAGTTTCAGGAGCGGTTCGGCTCAGACGAAGGCTGGCGTCCCGTCACGGCCCAGGAAATGAAAGCGTTCCTGGGCTTTGTCACCTCCACCAGTGTGCACCGCTGTGAGTCAGTGCTCAGCATCTGGAGCTCGGGCTTTTTCAGCAACCAAAGCATCGCCTTGAAGATGAGTCAGTCGCGTTTTGAGAAGATCCTCAAGTACTTCCACATTGTGGCTTTCCGGCCATCACAAGGAAGCAACCAGGGCCTTTACAAGATCCAGCCCTTCCTGGACTCGCTGCAGCAGTCCTTCAGCTGCACTTTCAGACCATCACAAACACAGGTGTGTGCGTTGCGACAGGTGGCGTTTTCTTCAAGCCTCTCTTGATATTTTTAGATGCTTTCTTTCAGCTGGCAACAGATTCTTCTTGCCTTTAGGAGCACCACATTTTAACAGCACAGCTACATTTTATTATGCCTCATGAATTGCGTAGTATAAAAAGAAACGACCAAAGTTCCAGAAGTCATTTACAGGTGATGATGTTGAGGAAATCACTTTTTAGTCATCCACATCCAAAGTTTTGCTGTGTCAGCATGTTTATGTGTTCCAGTGCAATATTAACTTTCTGACCTGGAGCCATAACACATTTACACAGATGCAGAATGAGAAGGAAGAGGACAGTAATCAGTAGGTGGGGTATGAGTTGCATGTAGGTGTAGTTGCAAGGGGTATGCCAAGAGATTGTCTTATACATAGTTGTAATTTAATTAGTTTATCTCTTCTCTGACAAAATCATTTGAGCTATTTAGTTTTAGATGTAAAGCAAAAGAGAAATTTGTTGAATGACTGCTTTCAATTCAATTTGTATTTATTCAGCACCAGATCACAAGGCCAGCCATATAGCTGAGAAAGCTATATGCAGTGCTGCAGTTTCACTGGAGGATATGTTTAAATATGGTAAATGGACTGGTTCTTATGTAGCACTTTTCTACTCTCACTGAGCACTGAAAGCGCTTTATACAACTCGTGCATTCACACAAGCACTTTATCTAAGGCTTTTTTTAGT